ATCGAACATGTTCCTCTCACCCACCCAGTGTAGGTTCCGTCAACAGTGCTCCACCATGGACCATCTGATTCGACTTGAAATGTCAATCAGGGAAGCCTTTCTCAAGAGAGAACACCTTGTTTTTGTGTTCTTTGATCTTGGTAATTTGAACTCACACGGACTTGGAATCGCCTGTTCAGTAAAAAGTTTTAAATAAAAATGGGTAAATGGCCACGCAACCCACAGGAGTGGAGGTCCTGCAAAATTCCATACCTCCACGTAGTATCATAAGCCTTCTTTCCCGTTTCTTTCCACAGGAACTTGGAGTCCCTCAGGGCTGTGTCTTGAGTGTCACACTTTTTAGTGTTAAAATTAATGCCATCACTAATAATTTTCCTCCGACTTTTGCAAATGGGTTTTATGTTGATGACTTCCACATATCGTGTCAGTCGTCGAACATGAGGTTTATTGAGCGGTAGCTTCAGACTGCCCTCAATCGGTTTTTGACATGGACCACTGCAAACGGTTTTAAATTTTCTTTTTCCAAAACCGTTTGCATGCATTTTTGCCACCATTGTGGTCTCAACCCTGATTCTGAGCTCTGTCTCGGTGAGATAGTTATTCGTGTGGTCCCTGATGCAAAGTTCTTGGGGCTTATTTTTGACCATAAGTTTAGCTTCATTCCACACATCAAGCAGCTACGTGTCAAGTGTGCAAGGGCTATGAACGTTTTCCGTGTCCTCTCTTTCCAGCTCTTGGGGAGCGGATCGATGTTCTATGCTCAGGATCTATCGTACTCTGAATCGATCCAAACTGGACTATGGGTCTTTGGTCTATGGTTCTGCCAGGACCTCGGCTTTGAAGATGCTGGACCCCATTCACCATCTGGGGCCCTCGGCTCTGCACCGGGGCTTTTTGCACTTTTCCTGTCCAGAGTTTGTACACTGAGTCCCATGAACGTTCTCTTCACGTCTGTCATTTGCAGCTTTCTTTGCAATATGCTACCAAGCTTCGATCCTTATCACGGCATCCCACCTGGGATTGTGTTTTTCTTCCTCGGTGGGCAATGCTCTTTCAGAGCAGACAGTCTGCTATTCCTCCCTTTGGCCTTCGTATCCGGGTACAACTGGCTGAATTAGGTTTCGCATTGGATGACCATGCTGTCCCCAGTGATCAGCCTATTCCGCCTTGGCTTATTACCATCCCTTCCTGTGACCTTTCCTTGAGTCATCTGAGGAAGACGGATATTACCGATTGGAAGTATTGTCTTTTTTTTGCTGAACATCTATCAAGCCATTCTTCTCTTCCTATTTACACAGATGGTTCGAAAATTGGGTGACTCTGTAGGTTCTGCCATGGTGTGCTGTTGCTCTGTTGTTGCTCCAATGATCCCCTCTACACTTTCTGTGTTCACTACCAAGTTGCCCTGAATCATGTAGAAGCTATGCAGTACAGAAATTATACTATTTACACTGATTCTCTTAGCTTTCTACTGGCCCTGGAATTGCTTAACGTTAGTTCTCACCCTGTTCTTTTATCCGGTATTGACCCACCAATGTGTAGCCATTGTAACACTCAAGTCACAATAGCCCACATTTTACTGTCATGCCATCGTTACGACCGTGAGCGGCGGCACCATTTTAGACACGTGTTTTCTAAGAGTTTACCCCTTGACGTTGGACAGTGTCATTGGTAATGGTGACACTGTCCGACTAGATTGTATTTTTAATTTTTTACACACTATTTTGGTTTTAACTCGCTGTATTTTTACATTTTACTCTAATTTACTTTCACTTTTTTACCGGTTGTTTGGTGCAGATAGCCTCGTTGCTTTGCGCCATAAAGCACCAAACAACCAGAACAAGGTTTTGTTATTGTTCTGTAATATGTAGATAGTGTAATGTGACCAAAAATTGGTTGCTTTTGGGAAAGGTTTGTAATGTCCTTTTTTGGCATAAAATATTCATTCATGCAAATCATAAAAATGTGTTCAAACTGGGGATTTAAAATTTGTAAGATGGGAATATCCTTTGTTCTGAGTGACATTGAAAAACAAAGGGATATAGGCAAGAGAACATAACAGTATCATAAGTGGCACAAGTTGCATGTACACAAATGCTTCCATGACATAGCCATTTAATTGTTGCATACCCTAAAGGTATTCATGTTATTCCATGCGAAGAAATTCTAGTCAAATTGCTTTTGGATTTCTGTGTGATCAGACTATTAAAACAGGTGTTAGGAAACTGTAATCCTTGTGCACTAACAAGTTTGAGAATGGAAAGAAAGCAGGGAGTAGTGTTGTGCTTTTGACATGACAGCATTTGGATGGAGCCTTTTGCAATGGAAACTACACTGCAGAACTTTTGTCAAGATGCATGGCCATCAGATAGAACATGACTGGATGTGGTAACTGGAATGTAATGATATGTTGAGGGTATAGAATCATTTTAATATAACATACGGAACTTCTGTATGATACTACTTTACATTAATTATTACTGTTATTAAAAATCTCAAAAACCAGAAGTAAGTTCTTGTGATTTTTCACATCTTGACTCATTAAGTTGTTTTTCTAAAGAATGCCTGAGAGTGGACTATATGAAGATATTCGCAGTTACATTCTTTAATATATATGTATTAGTTAACATTATAAACCATCTATGGTTAAGAAGAAATAATGAAAACCCGAATTAATATAGTACATCACGAAAACAAAAATTTCTTTTTTAATGAAATCACTAAAGTTTTAAATTATAGCTGATTTATGAAGAAAGTAATGGTAAAACAATGCATATTAGGTATTTATATTTTTTTATTTATGTGTGAACTTCAGGTTAATACTGATTATATTATTTTTAAGTCAGATTTGTATGTGAACTACAAATATTTTATTAGTTATTGTTACAGCATTCTTATGACTTTTTATCTTTAATTAGTTGGAATACATTGCTGTAAAGTAAGCAATATTTAAGTTGTTTAAAGCTAGAGAAATTTATTTATTTTTATTGCATTTTGTAATCTATAAGATAAATTTATTCTAAAATTACTAGTTTACCATTTCTAGTAGTTGCCTGATGGTTAGCATTCATGGTTCATGTACCACTGCCTTGAAAAATGTGCTATGCATTTTAGTCATGGGTGCTCTATAAGCAGGGTTTCCAACAGTACCGACGGTACCAGGTTTCTAGTACTCGAGCATCTCTAGTCATGTGACTTGAGCAGCTAGAAATTCAACTATTCTTCCCAGTGTGTTCTCGGGAGAGAATTTTTTTTTAACATCAAACCAAACTGTCAATTATCTGTAAGCCCACATGGTATGACAACTATGGCAATGAATCAGTTGAAAACTAGGCTTTCTATTGGTTATAAAGTTTATGTAAGTTGGCCTCAGAAAAATCTGTTAGCAATTTATAAATTGGAGCATGTCAGAGGTAGGCATGGCAAGTGTTTCTGAATTTTCATTGGTTGCTTTTTAGCCCATTAGATTGAAGAATATAAAAATATATCTTCAGAATATCAATGATGAAATTATAGAGAATATTTTATGTTACATTTCATAGTTTTCTAGGGGGGTGGACAAAAAAAATCCAGAAGAGGAGATGGCTCAAGAACAAATCCAAGTTCTCACACTAGGGGAATTTGAGGTTTTTAAATATTTCTTTATCCAATT